CCCCCCCCCCCCCGAAAAACAACAAAACAAACCGAAACTCTAAAACCTCCAAAAACTTAGGAATCCAGCATTGCTTGTTATCTGGGTAACTGCTTTCTTCACCTGGGCACCAACTTGTATCGAACTAGTAGGGAGATACAGATGAGGATGACTCATCTGATGTGAGATCGTACTTCCCCTGCACACTGTGGCGATGTATGTGTGGTGCTGAGGAACTGCATCTTGCACTGACTTTTATCTGGTTCTAACCTTATCGTGGGATTCTCCATATAGATCCCTTCTCTCCCATTCCATCTTTCTCACTATGTTCTGACCACAGCTGATACCTGAACCTTCTAATTGCAATCAACTGTAAGGAAACGTGAGTACTGTCAGCAGAAACTTACAGTAACCTTTTATGACTGAAAAAAAAAAAAAAAGCCTGGGCTATACATAACAAGTTACATGGCAAAAAAAAGGAACTGATCCTGTAATGCTTGGCTGAAGAAGCATTTTCTTGCTTAACTACGTTCTTCAGCCAGTTTTCTGCCTTTCATTAATTGTGTCATTGTTGGATATGGTAAGAAGACTAAACTTGCCATGTCTTAATGCTGTGCTTATAACTAAGCTTCCTCTTTCCTTTTCTCAGGAGATAATTAAGACCGCAGTCTCCCATAGCCCCTCAGGGGATGAGGGGAGATATTTTCTGTTCCATGGAAGGAAAAAATATTTTCTCATGACAAAGCAGTTCACACAGTTGGGAGAACATTCTGACTTTTATTCTGCTACACAGTTTTCTTTAATCAGATTTTCCTTTTTTTTTTTCATTAGCTTCTGGCAGTGATGCAACAGGAAGAAAAAGTATAAGGTTTATTTCATTATTAGAAAATCTGTAACCTAAACTGTGTGCTACTCTTGCATTCCCAAGAAATAGCAATTCAGTGAATTGCTTTACAGAAAGAGATGTATTAAAAAGAACTTTACAAACACTTTTGATATATGGTTTCTCAGTTAAAAAAATGCACATGGCAGAAGAGAATATGTCATGTGTGTATATGTAGATGAGGGAATGGAGACAAAATATTTTCATAGCACAGAGAAATGAAAGACTATGTGTTTTTAAAAAAAATTCTTTAATCTTCACCAGTTCTATCAGATTGCTGTCAATTACGGAATTATAATCCTCAGTTTTAAAGTCATGCTTTCTAATGCTATTGTTCTTGCAGTCTACTTTCATTTTTTAATCTCCTCAAATAGTTTAGATATTGAAGGTCTGAAATCCACCTTTTCATTTGAATAAACTGTTCATTTTAATGTACTTTTGATTAATGTTTTGTCAGCTTTAGTTTATGAAAAATGAGAGAAGTGTACTCAGCTGCCACCAAAGGGTCTACAAATTAAAAACTGGAATGTAGTGGTAAAGACTCAGCAAAAACTTTCAAGGAATTAGTGTTCAGAACTCTAGCACTGCCAACATTAGCCACACCTACAAAAATAAATCTATTATGTAAAACCATGATGGCAATTTTTCCTTGTCATTCACAGTGTACCATAATTTGAAAAGTAATATCTGAAGTCTAACGTCTTAAAGTTTATGTTTTAGACTTTGGTAAGATTGTATAATTTGTTGGCATTCCCTTTCCTGAGGAGCCAAAATCAACTCTGTGATACGTTTAGTGAATTTGCACTTTCGTGTAAGAGAGGAGAATTTGCCAAGCATATCTATGATAGAACTTTTATTTCTGTCATATTATTTAAGAAAATATTATATCTTATAAGACCATCAACACTAAATTGAGTATTACAGTATAGGATTATCAGTTGGCCCTGGTTTGCTGTTATGTATAGTTTCTATGTATTCGAGAATGAGAATATTTTAGTGACATCATTATATAACAGTTCCTGGTCCCTGGTATTGCTAAATACTATGTATGCTGTGATGATATACTCTGATTTCTTGCAGTCTGGTTTTCATCTTCACTACATTTACCAGTGAACCTTCCCTTGTGTCCATCCATCTGGTCTTTAGTGACTTCCTTCTCTATAACCTGCTTTATATCTATTCTTCATTAGTTCTCTCCCTTGTTCCTGAGCTTCTTCAAAGTCTTCCTTGAAAAACTGAGGCTCTGCCTTCCCACTTTCTATTATCACCACACAATCCACAAGACCTTTTCCTAAATACCTGTTTAGTTCCTATATCCAGTATGTAGGTGACCTCAGGTAGTTTTGTCATTTTAATTTCTGTTCAGTTTGTTTAATTTTTTCTTTTTCCTTTCCAACTCTGCCACCACCAGTGTCTCTCTCAATGTCCCCACTTTCTTTATTTTTCCCTTTCTTCAATCCCATCTAATCTTCTGAAAATAGAGCAGTTAGTTAAATTAATTTTCTTCAGCTGCTGTTCTAGTCATATCATTTTTTAATAACTCTACATGAGTTCTACATCCCCTCCCATGTTCCTTCCTAGCACTTAAACTTAATGATGGCAGTCATTCTGTAAATTCAAAAGCCTTGCATTTAGTAAAATACAACCAATTTGTAGTCTATACACAAAAAGTTGAATGATAAAAAAGGGATGAAGATCAGGAGAATGTGCACTTAGCAATGAAAAATTAATAATAAAAAAATAAAAATTACACTCAGCTAAAATTACTGTATGCTTGTCCTCTATATTATTTAATAGTGCTTTTGTCTATATCCCACAGAACTGTCTTATATGAGTGCTGTCCTGGCTATATGAAGATGGATGGTATGAGAGGATGTCCTGCAGGTACAAGCTTATTTTCGTATGGATGAGTCAGTATATGAGAAGCATTACAACACAGGAGACTTTCAGAGGAAGTCAGCTTGAGAAAAGATTGCCTCTTTTTAAGAATTACTGCCTGAGAATATAAAGCTTCATTTGCATATAGCTAACGCAGTTAAAAATAAGTCAGCACTGAACTTGATCATGCAGTTTAAGTTGAGAACAACTAGTTTGCATGCAGATGGCTCACTTCTAGGTGCCTAGAATTAGGACAGTTTAATCCTGTTCTCATGTAGCAATGTTTTTACTATGAGACTATGGCCATTCTTACTCTCTGGATGAATCAATATATGCACAAACCACAGAGTGGAAGAAGAGCAAGAGGCCTCACAAGAAGAATTCCAGTCCACCATGACTGAATGAGACCCACTCCATTGAAATCTTTGTGATTATAGATGGAATTTACTCCTGTCCTCAATAGATACCCTCCCATTTCAGGTTGGGTTGGCACAAAACAAGACAACTCTTCTAAAGAAAACATTATAATATTCGGTTTTGTTTGATCTAATTTTTTCATTAAGCAAGCCACAAAAATAAATAACAAGCAGATGTGTTTGGATGTTTTTTGAGTATGTGGAGAATGGAATTTTAATCCAAGCATATTGTTTTAATGTTGGTTTAAACAGTTTCAGAAAGTCAATACTATTGTCCAACCAAAATAAATAAAATATATTTGATTGTGAGAAACTGGATGACTGAGAGTTTACAGTATTCTTCTCTCATGTTTGTTTTAGTTGCTCCTATTGATCACGTATATGGCACACTTGGTATTGTGGGAGCTACCTCCACACAGCAGTATTCTGACATATCAAAGCTGAGAGAAGAGATTGAGGGTCGAGGATCATTCACTTTCTTTGCACCAAGCAATGAAGCCTGGGAGCAATTAAATTCAGTAAGTGTGTGTGTGTGCGCGCGTGCATGCGTGTGCCTGCATGCACATGTGTTAAAGTGTTTTTCTCTTTCAGCTAACATTATTTTAGCTGCAACAGTGAATCTATGATAAGGTAGACTAGAAACAATATTAATATTTTAGATATAAAAGGATATTACACAAGATATAATAAAAGAATTTGTATGTTTAACATGCACTGCTGAAGCTAGAGAGTCTGAATTTATTTTCAGGAATACTAAGTACCTGTAAATCTTTCTTATTTAAGCCTTTGCATGACAAATATTAATATTGTTAGTGTTATTAGCATAGTTTGGGGGAAAATGACAGGAATTATAGCAATTGCATGGTATAGAGTATAATTGTATCTTTGTCAGTGATTCAGGTGTCCTTCTTTTAGTAATATTTTTAGTTAAATAAATATTGAATCAAAGCTCCTCCCATGACTTGTCTTCAGTGAGACCTCTTGTCTTCTATTTGTAAGCAAATCAGACTAAAGCATCATTTAAGTAGAGCCAGATGGATAGGTATCAAAGTTGTCTCTCCTAACAGGAAATATCCATGTTGAATATATTGAAAGCATATGTTAAGATAAAGTAATATGTAGATCTTTCTGACTGGAAGAATGTTTTGAAGTTTCTAATTAATTACAATCCTTTCTTCTTCAGGAAATTCACAGAAATTTGGTTGACAATGTAAATATTGAACTATATAACGCTCTCCACCATCACATGGTAAACAAGCGCATGTTGACAAAAGATCTTAAGAATGGCATGACTCTGGTGTCTATGTATAATAACCAGAAATTGCTAATTAACCATTATCCTAATGGAGTAAGTCTATTCTTTTTTTTTTCTTCCCTAATATAAGTATTCAATTATAGACATTGCTCTTTCCTCTGTTTCCTTCTATAGCTAAGAAAATAGGTTATATAAAGTTTAACATATAGCAAGTTGAATTTTCTCTTGAAGAAATTTTATCTGCTGTGTAGACAAATCACTAAGAAGGATTTAATGAACAGCTGTTTGCTGTTTAGAAATCAAAGTTCAGATAAGAATGAACTTTCTTCCTAAAAGAAAAAGCCTTTTGTGGCCAAAATATATAATCATAATAAATTGGAGAGAAAAATCCACTATTAATCTTCATATGTTTATGAAATAATATTAAATCAGATCCTTTATTTGAATTGGAGTGTACAGTAAAATAATTTAACATTGTATGGGACACACATCCATTATTTGGCTGGAAAAAAGGTCATTTTTATAAATGCTAGAAATCTCCCAGTCAAGTCACTCATCTTTGTTGCCTTAAATGCATGGAAATGTTTATATTGGACTACAGTTTACAGTAAAACCCGATACAATCACCGTATGAAGAAGATATGGAAAACAAATATGAATAATTGCAATAACAAATAAAACATGAATATGAAATCAACATCTGCTGCTAGCTTTCTGAAAGTTTAGTCAGCTTCTCAAATCTTATAAGGTTTTGCTTAAAATTTAAAATAAAACCTAAAATAACAACAATGAATACATAATGTACAGTACATACATTACCAGTCTGTAAGAATCAAATTCCATGTGTATGATCAAATTAATGCTTAATCTTCTACTGCTTGATTCTTGAAATATAGGTTGTTACTGTTAACTGTGCCAGGATCATCCATGGAAACCAGATCGCTACCAATGGTGTTGTTCATGTCATTGATCGTGTCCTGACTGCTGTTGGAAATACCATTCAAGATTTCATTGAAGTTGAGGATGATCTTTCATCTCTTAGAGTAAGTGTACAAAACCAAAACCACTTCTCTGGTCTTTTAGTTTTTTCTTCTTTCTTTTGTATTTGTGTATGATACCTGGAAGTAAGAAGGGTTAGTTCAGTAAGAGGTATAAATAAATTAAATTAAGTATTCCAGCTAATATTGCAAATCCAGTTATATAAAAAGGGAAAGTACATTTTACATAAGGAGTCTACTTCTTCTCTTCTGTGGATCAAATAGGACCACAGCAATAAGACAGAATGTGTCCCTGTACACAAAAAATTGTGTCTTCTCTTCAAGTACTGAGGTAATGAAACATGTGAGAATAAGTTATGGTGTCTGGTGCTACATAAATAAGAATAATTTCAAAATGGATGATAGAAAATGCTAAAAAACCCAATTAAATTCCACTACCTGACTCATGGCAAGTTTCAGAACACTAGTAGATACATGTAGGAAGGATTTTTCTTGCAGAGAGGAAGCAGATTTTTTTTTCTGCCCAAGTTTCTAATTTCTTCTTCTAGAAGATATGTCTGCTTATTGTGACTGGATTTCATGCTGCGCATGTTTAAAAAAATATGCCATGGTTTTGCAAATGGCTGTTGTCCTTTTCCCTCCTCCATCTCCTCCATAAATAAATAAATAAAATGCAGAGGCATAAAGGTGGAAAAGACCCTCTGAATCCCTCAAATCCAGTCCATAACAGTTATAGGCAACCACATCATTTAATCCCTTTAAAAAATTAAATATAAAAGCCAACCCTCTCTACTTTCCAGCTGAAAAAGAAGCCCTCTCTATTTTATTTTTTCCTGTGCTTTCTTTCTTGTATCTCTTCTATTTGGGTTTAACTTTTGTGAACTCTAAGCAGACATTTTCACCTAATCCTAGATAACATCTTACCTATTCCTTTTATATTGACTTTGATACCTCCCTAACTCTGCTTGGAAAAAACCTTACTGGTATCCAGGATACATGCTAGCATCAAGCTTGGTTTTTTTTCAGTTCCATCACATTGCACTCTGCCTTTCTGACTTTCAAAGGGTGCAGTCCTTGTTTATAGCACATACACCTGTTAATTCCTGTGTTCATGCCTCTGCACTTTATACTGCTTTAATGACTTTGGGTCCAAAAGCAAGTGTGCTAATGAAACCATTAAATAAAATCAGCTCTGAGACTCAAATATGACTTTTTTTCCAGGATGGTTATTCCCGTCTTCCAGTTTGCCAGTTTCATATGCACTTTATCTTTCTGTCCTAGGTTGAGCTAATAGTATTTCATATTTAACTAGGCAAATTCTTTACTCAAGTCCATATATGTTCATTTTTATGTATGTTTTTTTTTCTAGAAAATCTGTTCTTAATTTATATTGGCATATTTCATACTACCCTTTTAATCCGTCATATATGCTCACAATATCTTTCTTTACTTTTCGTGCATTGTTCTTTTTCTTGTCTTTGATTCTAATGAGGACAGGTTGCAGACATCAAAGAAATAAATATTGTTATAGTATTCTCTTTTAGGATTCATCCAATAAGGGAAACAGCCAAATTTTGAGGTTGTACAGAGGGATTTATAAGCAAGTTAAGAAGATTTATTTAAGGAACAAAAGGAAAATTATATTTTTTGAAAAATATTAAATTGGGTTTTATTTAGTTCAGACTGCTTACCTCTTCTTCATTACTAGAAATTAAAGAATTTTTCATCAAATATGTTTAAATTTACTTTTTTTACATCCTAAGTAACATTTTAGGGATTAAAAACCCAGAGATAATTTTTCCTGGCCTCAAAGCCCAAGAATGGAATGGAATGGAATGGAATGGAATGGAATGGAATGGAATGGAATAGGACTATGACAGTTGGAAGAGACCTACAGTAATCATCTAGTCCAACTGCTTGACCACTTCAGGGCTAACGAAAAGTTAAAGCATGTTATTAAGGACATTGTCTGAATGCCTCTTAAACATTGACAGGCTTGGGACATTGACAACCTTTCTAGGAAGCCTGTTCCAGTGTTTGACCACCTTCTCAATAAAGAAATGCTTCCTAATGTCAATTCTGAACCCCCCCTGACACAGCTTTGAACCATTCCCATGCATCTTATCACAAGATCCCAAGGAGAAGAGATCAGCACCTCCCTTTTCACTTCCTTTCTCAGGAAGCTGTAGAGAGCAATGATGTGCCCCCTCAGCCTCCTGTTGTGATTCAAAACCTCCTCCTTGTATTTAATGTAATTAGTCATACATCTGTAGTATTTTAATTTTTTTCCAGGGGCAAATTATTAGCTTTGATGGACGATTTCTTTTTTCATCTAATTTATCAAAACCTATATGTTCACATTTTTCATTAAAAATTCAAGCCATAATAATGAAAATCTCTGCCCTGTTGTCACCTGTATCAGAATGTATTGATTACTGTGTGCTAAATTAAGGAGGTACTTCCATATATCCAGACACGTTTTTCCCACAAAATTAATTTTCTCTTCCTTTTTGTCATGTCATTTTTTAACACATCTTTCTATAACACTGAACTCAGTCTAGCATTAAAGTACCTGTGGGCACTAGGTGAAACTAGACAACTATTGTATTTTGTTTATATTTTACATAAGCAGTATTAGTAACCAAATTTATTTTCTAGGCTGCTGCCATTACATCAGATGTTTTGGATATTCTTGGAAGGCCTGGTCATTACACACTCTTTGCTCCCACTAATGAAGCTTTTGAGAGACTTCCAAGGGGAGTCTTAGAAAGGATCATGGGTGACAAGGTGGCTTCTGAAGGTATGTAATGTTTTTTTCTAAATAAGAAATACACGTGAGTAGATCAGGAGGTAGAAACTACATTATCCTAGTAGCACTGAAATTAAGGACCTGTACTTACATACATATAGGAGTTATTTCTTCTGTCTCTGATTCTTCCAGTTACCTAAGGATTCAAATTAACTGAAAACCTAGTTTCCAAAATATTTTAAAGGAAACCGTGAAAATATAGGCACATTGATGTTTCTAATAGTTCAGCTGCATAGTTCCAATAGAGAATGCAGGGCTATCTGAACGTGGGATTCTCTCATAGCTTTTTCATGAACAGCTTTTTCATACAAAAAGGGCATGTTCTTGTAAAAGGCAAGTTCTGCCCTGCAAGTTGAACTGCATTTATGCTATATATTCTGACAAACTATGACAGTCAGAACACTTATTCTTCTGAGAACTACAATAAAACTAAATAATAACTGAATCAGTCTGTTACATGAAAATTAATGTAACGAACCACTAAGAAATGGAACGCTACATTTCTGTTCTCATTTATGAGCTCCACTGCACTAAAGTTCTCCATTATTTCATTGTGGCCCGATTAAGTCACTGTGCAGTATCTCAATGGAGGATGTTGAAAAGAGGAATCTGGGCTCATTTTAATGTGAGGCAATGACTAAAACTGGAGTCCTAAAATAACACGGTTGTGCCTCTTTTTTTTCAGTTTCCTTTCAGGAAGTTTTAGCTGATTCTTTTGGTACCCACAGAGGATAGTACTCAATCTCACTTGTATAGTCAGGCATAACAAAATATAAATCTGGGGCTGACTTTGTACTTAGAGGTCCATTTGGAGCATATCATACGTATTCAACAAGTTATATACTTTGTTACATGCAGATCACAGCATAACCAGCATAGTTTTCATAATATAAAGCATGCTGAAGATTTTTGACCATAGATGTTGTCTAGAGGATTTAGAGGCCTATAGAATTCTCATATAAGTAGTACCCATTAAAGAATCTGAGTGCAAATAAGCAAATATGTTAGATAAGCTAGTAAACTATTAAAAATAGTGTAGATGAAATAATTTTTCCAGACTGATATATAAATTTTATTTTTATATATATATGTGTGTGTCCAAACACCTATATATGGATTTCCTGCTCTTTTCTCCACAGCTCTCGTGAAGTTCCATATTTTAAATACTCTCCAGTGCTCTGAAGCCATCACAGGTGGAGCTGTCTATGAAACCTTGGAAGGAAACACAGTTGAAGTTGGTTGTGATGGTGAAAGTCTGACTGTGAATGGAGTGAAGATGGTGAAACGCAAAGATATTGTGACAAGCAATGGCGTTATCCACCTCATTGATGAAGTGCTAATTCCTGATTCTGGTCAGTGATGTGTATGAAAAATTTCTTACACTGAAGATGTTTTCTACAATCTTGCCTAGATTCCTTCAGATATATTGTTATGGATAAGCATGAAGAATCTAAATCAGGAAAAGAAATAAATTGTGTGTTAAAATACCTTTTCTTATTCCTTTATTTGCAGCCAAGCAAGTCATTGAGCTTGGGGGTGCCCAGCAGACTACTTTTACAGACCTGGTGGCACAGCTAGGACTGGCATCTTCTCTAAGACCAGAAGGCCAATACACTCTCCTGGCACCTCTGAATGGTGCTTTCTCAGGTCAGTAGTCATAAAAGATTATGCTCTGAATGTCAAAATAAACAGGAATATATGCTACCCTGACAGTTTTCCAAATAAGCCTCAGTACTTGTTCTAAGTCCCAAGGAAAGAAAGCCATGGAGAAATACAGATACTTCATCCTTTCAAAATACATACCATGCAGAAAGACAAAACAAGCCTAACCACCAGGCTGCACAGCTAGTTTTTAGTGGTATAATAAGTTAATGTAAATAGTAGCACTAAATTAAGATACTAAATATGCACAGAGAGATTGTGGGAAAGAAAATATATTAATGAACTGCCAGTTCTCTTAATCTTTGCCTTACTTGCATTATATCCACAACTTATCTATTCTGAAAAAAATTATACAAGAAGGTTGGTATTTTCCAGTACATTGAAGCAGAGAGAAACTGATACAAATATACTAGAAAAAAGGTGTTTGCATATTTGCAGAAGTCACTGCATGGGCATCCTGCCCTTCCCCCAAGAATCTGCATGTTAACTAACCAGCACAGAAGCAAACGTGGAAAAGTTTTAAGGTGCACATGCAGAAACGAAAAGTTGTATTAAGAACTTCAGCAGTAATTCAGAAGATGGAGCAGGACCACATATAAATCATCTGCCATATTATTTATGGTAATTAATCAATCAATCAGGGCTATGTCAAAAGTTCATGTGTGAATTTAAGGAATGGTAATTTGCAGAAACAATTTAACAATTCATTTTCTATGTACACAGATCTGTCAAAGCCTTTCAAAGCATTTCAAAGAAAGTTTCAGTATTTCCATGATCTTTTAATATACCATCCACAATTAACCCTATCTATCTGAATGAAAATTCATTATATAAATCACTATATGTTAATATCTAAATGGCTTTGTAGATGACACCTTAAGGATGGATCAACGCCTTCTTAAAACAATCCTGCAGAATCACATTATAAAAGTGAAAGTTGGGCTCAATGAACTGTACAATGGACAAGAGCTGGAGACTATTGGAGGAAAACTGCTTAGAGTCTTTGTGTATCGCACAGTAAGTGAATGGGGCTTTCTAACAATATGTATCCCAACAAGGAAAATGAAGTGTCGTGAAAGAAAGATGAATTAAACCTCCAGCATTTACCATTACAACTATCTAGCAAAAACCTTTAAGCTTTTAACCTAGCAAAAAATGAAAATCTGATCTTTATCGATCTGTTTGCATGGAAGACTCTTCTGGAAAATGAAACAGGATTTCAGATTTAGCACTCCATTAATTATAATTTTTTAAAGTTCATTTTTAGAACTGTTTAAGAACATTCTCAGGATAAACAAACAAAAAAAATCAAGTTTGGAAATATTTACACCATATTAACATACTCCAGATTTTGCTACTTTTGCTTTCTCAAGCAATACCAGATTTCCTGGCAAGAACACACAATTTGACTGTTGAAATATATTTGAATATTATTTTTAAATTTAGGATTCTGTTGGGAAGTATGCATCCATCTCATTTTATCAAATATGTTTAAATGTGTATCATTGTGTGAATACCTACAGGTTTTTTTTGTCTTTTAATCAGGCTGTATGTATTGAAAATTCGTGCATGGTCAGAGGAAGTAAAGAAGGAAGGAATGGTTTTATTCACATTTTCAGACAGATCATCAATCCAGCAGAAAAGACATTGCATGAAATGCTAAGAAATGATAAACGGTTTAGGTGAGTAGCAGTTTTGACGGCACTGAGATTTTCCTGCAGAAGGTAACTGTATGTATAGCACAGCTGGTCTGAGAAGTAGTTGCAGACTGTGAGTTGTTGGATTTTGGGAAGCAAGAAGGGCAGGGAAGGGGTTATTACTACCTGGCGGGAAAAAAAAAAAAAAAAAAAAAAGGAGTGGGGAACTAAAGAAAAGTGAACTTCTCCAGCTGTGTGCTGAAAGGGCTCCCAGACTTCATGGTAGAATGGTTGTTAATGACACATAGAAGTCAGTAAGAAATCAGAATGAGAAAAGTAAGAGGACAAAGGGGATTGGCTGATACATCCAGAGCTATAAATGCAGCAGAGTCTGGAGGCTTAATTAACAAGTAGTACAATTTCATATGAGTGCAGCATGATTGCACACCCTTCCAGTATATATTTCGGTCATCTGTCTGCAAGCATCTCAACATTCCTAGAGAGACCAACTGCCCTTGGCATCCTCCCTTCTTGTCTTTGATCTGTAGAGGTTTTATCTGATGAACTCTGCTTTGATCCAGGCTGCCAATAATTATTTTTTTTTCCTCAAATTCTTTTTCCTCAGTCTGCTGCTCTTAAGACTTAAGATTTTCCTCCTCTAGTCTCTTTGTTTCTGGGAAATAGTAAGAGTGAAGACTGAAGCACTGTCAGAAAAAATGAGGAAACTAAGTATAGTTACTACCTTTCAACAGAATGTATTTGTGTTTTGTCTGTTTGTTGTAAACAGCGTTTTCCTCAGTCTGGTGAAAGCTGCAGATTTAGATGATGTTCTGTCACGGCCTGGAGAATGGACTCTGTTTGTTCCAACTAATGATGCCTTTAAAGGTTTGACTGATGACGATAAGGATATATTGATAAGTAAGTAACATAAGAAAACTAAAATAGAAGCAAAGGTAAAATTGATGGGAATGGCGGCTAGTGCATTTCTTACACAAAAGATGTCTGATGAAATAGCTTATATTTTGCACAGAGCAGGTCATAGGACTTCCCTAAATTAATTCCTTCTTGGGGGATAGAGAAAACATCTTTTTGGAAAAAAATATCCAGCCTGAATTTAAATTTTAATTTCATTCTTTGATATATTATTCCAAGATACAATTACCTTCCAAATTAAAATCTGCATTCATTTCATTAGCTTCAACTTTTCATCATTCATCCTTGCTATAGATTTATTAAACTGAAAAGTCTCTTATACCACGTTTCTTTTCTAGTTCTGACTATTGCATTAAAAGATATGCAGCATTGACTTTCCTATCTTTCCTTTCCTTTCTCTTCTCTGCCTCCACGCAGTGATCTCTGATATCAACTGTGCTCCACAAGTCAGACATTGAATATATATTGCTAAATGCCAATTTATGTCATTTCTTTCCATCTTACAGAATCACAGAGTGGTAGGGGTTGGAAGGGACCTCTGAAGATCATCTAGTCCAAGGCTCTTGCTAAAGCAGGATCACCTAGAGATCTTTCAAACTCTGGAATTATATAGATTTTTCACATGATTTAAAAATAGTTCTTTAATGTCATGTTTTCTTTCCATAAGAGAAGGAATGCACAGCGAATACTTCAAACTCTCCTGCAGAATTTCCCACTAGAGGGGTAGGCTGTGGCCACAGCACTCTAAATATTTTTACTTTACTTGAGGGTAATGTGAATCTGGCCTGTGCACAAGTGTGGGAGGAGTGATTGTCTTGAATCCCACATCCAGAAGGTCAGTCACATTTTCTGTTCCTGAACTTCTCAGATCAAAGTTCAAAGACATGAAGCCAAATCCCATGAATCCTTAACGACTGCAAAGAGTCCAGCTCAGAGTGTTGATAAGTAGCAACCCCAGCTCCATTCAGATTTAATCACTAATGAGGCACTGTGAATTTGATTTATCTCTTCACCCATTTAAAATTATGACAGTGGTCTAAATTGCCTTCTAGTGCAGTGTGTCTCTAGTGACTAACAGTAAATTAACAAACAGCCTAAATGCCTAACATTAGATAGCTACAAAATGAAATGAAATGAAGCTTGTCTCAAGACTGTGAACTGAAGTAACTGGATAAATGCCATTGTTCTGTTTTTACTGGAGTATATAGTTATTTTATTAACTAATATTGAGTTTATCAGGTCTATTGTTTTTGTCTTCAATTCACAACTTGACATTGTACCCAAGGCCCATACCATTTTGGATTATTTCAATAATTAAGAATACAATTATATTTGCCATTCTGCTTTTCAAGGGGTTTTATGTACTAGTGTTTTCTATCATTGTGACTCAGTTTCTACTTACTTTCCTTGGCAGATGAGATTTTAAATTACCGTCATTATTTTTTTGCAGCAGAATGTCCATTTCTTGTCCATTCAGATTACTTTCTGGAATTCTGTCTTGGCTTTCTTTAAAGACATTAAGTTGCTTTCTCCATAAAAATTAGACATTAAAATATGTAATGGTAGTTTCATTCATATCATGCTTGATTTGGGCTCAAGCCTGTGTGAATCCTTAGAATTTCCAGAAAGAATTATCCATTACCATTTAATTTTTACTCCTACATTTCTTTTCTTTTTAAATAGGAGACAAAAATGCTCTCAGGAACATTCTCCTTTACCACTTGACACAAGGAGTTTTCATTGGAAGTGGCTTTGAGCCTGGTGTGACAAACATTCTTAAAACTATCCAAGGAGGGAAACTCTACTTGAAAACAGTTAAGTGTTGAAGTCTCCCTGATACAGCTTTGTAACAGGGATTTTATGTTCCATGTCTATCCACATTACAGAATGGAATTAATTTCTCTGAACATTGTATTAGGGTTTGGGATTTGTTTTTTAATGTCCCGTATAACCTGTGTTCTCTTCTTATCCTTTACCAGGTGAATGATACTCTTCTGGTTAATGAACTGAAATCAAGAGAATCTGATCTCATGGCAACCAATGGTGTCATTCATGTTATTGATAAACTGCTATATCCAGCGGGTGAGTATTAGTTCATGTAATTTATACACACTCTTCTGAATCTGTTTACATGCTATGTAGGTGCAATAACTTAAAGTTAATTCCTTTATGGAGACAATTCCTATGTGGAGTAAGAAACAGGAAATTTACCTTACTACTAATTTTATGGAACGCTTGTACTTGAAACCATGGCAACTCTTTGAAATTTTATGAGTCAAGTGGAAGACAAGATGCCTTAGGCTATCTTTTCCACTAATATGGAAGAATGTATATGTACAAGTACCTGCTTGTATGAGTGTTTGAGATGATTATATCTCCTGGTCACTGTAAACATATGTTTCCTCTTACATGCCTATTTCTTTTGTCAGATCTGCCTGTTGGAAATGATCAATTGCTCACAATCCTGAAGAAGTTGATTAAGTACATTCAAATTAAGGTACTCAATAGCTTCCATTTACCTAAAAATAATCATGAATGATACTCTGCACTCAACAGTTAGAATTTATGTTTTTCAACACCAAATAATTGTAGAATATTTGCATTTGGATAAATCCAATGTGGACTAGCCCAAATCTGCTCTTTGAGTCGGCTACGCTTTATCACTCCAGCAAAATAACTCACTTCTAAATCCTTGAGGCAATCTCTCTTTGAAAGAAATACTGAGTGAGTAAATTGCTACGTCATTAAACCCACCAGCCTCAATAGCATGTGGAGAAACATAGGCCTCCTTATCTATCATCTCAGCTATTCTCTTGAGACTGCATTCTCCCTCAACAATGAGTGACAACCTAGGCAAATTGCATAGCCTAATGTTTAGATCAGTGAAGCACTGAATCCTACCCACACTCATTAGGAAACAAGAAGGCAAATGCTTTCTTTTAAATTTTAACATTACTTTTCTGTATTTATAGTTTGTTCGTGACAGTACCTTCAAAGAGATTCCACTGACGTTTTACAGTAAGTTCATTTAAAATACTTCCAGATGGGTTTGAGATTGCTTTTTAAATGTTGCCATTTCCAATCTTGAATTGTAGATCTTTTTTTTTTTCAATAAAAAAGAAAGCGATTTCTGGGAAAGTAAGATGTGCCAATGAAGCACAGGAAGAGAAAGACCCAAAGTAGAATGTTTCTGGCTGTTGTGCTACTGTATGTATTTTTTTCCCCCTTTCCAGATGTACAGGAAAGTAACCCTGAAGGAAGCTGTTGAAACTCTTTGGAATAGGCAAGATACATATGGAAAAGATTGTTTTCAGTTTTTAGCCAAGGTTCAGTGTTTGGTGCATAGCAGAGTTGTACTGCCTCTCTCTCCAACACGTAGCATTGTACCATACTGACTCTCCAAGATTTAACATTGACCAGACTCTGCACTGAGATACTTTCTTTTTCATAAATGCTTCCAGAGGGACAGAGCGTACCTGTTCCACCTATTTCCCATGCATGTAAATATGACGCTTGTATGGAAGGCAGTTGTTCTGACCATTTTCTCTTTAAGGGAGTAAATGTAAAAAAGGAACCTTTTTTGATCTCTTGCAGCTATTCTCAGCGTTTGCATTTAGTTTTTGCATATAAAGGGGAATCTGTTGAAGCAAACTGTTAGACAAAGATCCTGCAGAAGCTTTGGCTTGTGAGGCAATATGGCAGATGATTAAATATCTATAGGATTCTACCCACATTTCTCAGTAGAAATGGAGAACATCACATTAGGCTTTTGAAACTTGAGAATGGGTATATTGAAGTTAAAAGACTCTTGGAACAAAGAATGGAACAATCTGTCTTGATGGCAACTTGAAAATGAGTCAACAGTGTGCCCTGGCAGCCAAAAGGGCCAACCGAGTCCTGGGTTGCATTAAGCATAGCATAGCTAGCTGGTCGAGGCAGGTGATTGTCCCACTCTACACTGCACTGGTGCTGCCCCACCTCAAGTACTGTGTGCAGTTTTGGGTGCCTCAATATAAGGACACCAAACTATTAGAGCGTGTCCAGAGGAGAGCAACCAAGATGAAAAGTCTCAAGGGCAAGACTTATGAGGAACGGCAGAGGTCATTTGGTTTGTTCAGCTTGGAGAAGAGAAGGGTGAGCCTCATCACACTCTACAGCTTCCTCAAGGAGAACAGTGGAGGGGGAGGTGCTGATCTGTTCTCTGTGGTGACCAGTGATAGGACATGACGTAATGGAATGAAGCTGCATCGGGGAAGGTCAGATTGGACATTAGGAAAAGGTGATTGGTCACTGGAACAGGGTCCCCAGGGAAAGTGGTCATGGCACCAAACCTGTCAGAGTTCAAGGAGCATCTGGACAATGCTCTTAGGCATATGGTTTAGTTTTAGGTAGTCTTGTGAGGAGCAGGAAGTTGGACTCAATGATCCTTATGGGTCCCTTCCAACTTGAGATATTCTATGATTCTATCTTCGACGGCCAGTGAGGATAGCATGAGAGGCAATGTCTGCAAACTGAAGCAAAGGAGGTCAATGTCATACATCAAGAAAGTTTTAACTGTTGAATGTGGGAATGGGAAGGTTGGGACCCCTACCAGTGAAGGCTTTTCTACCAGTGAATGGATATGAGTCCAATAATGATCCATCAGAGATGTTCAAGGAATACTGGAGCCTGTCTTAGGTGTAGAGGGAAAACTTGATCTCCGAAGGGCACCACAGTCATACTCCCCATGACATTCTATCAAGTGTAAGAATAGTTCTGAATGTCAGAGGGTTTCCTCTGTTTACCAGGTTAGCTCCCTAATGAAAAGGAAAGGATAAGATTTGAACTTAAGGTACGCCAGGGAATTGTGCATATCTTTATGCAGGGAATTTTATGAGCCATAATGTACCTTACATTATCATGGGTTTCATAACTAGTGGATTTCGTAAGGCACAAAAGACAAATAGCATGCCAGCAGACTCCGTCAGCAGGTGACTTGTATACACCACCATTTAGTAGCTAGAACTGAAATCCATACTCTAGATCCTTTTGAGTTACTTTTCCATCCATTAATATCTGTGATTTTATCGACATCTTTATGACCAGACCAAATCTAACTGATCATTACCACAAAAGAAACTGTAAGAATGGAATGTGCTTTATATTCCATTTTCTATACTTTCAGAAATTAACATAATTGAAAGCAACGTCCAGCCCATCATCAGAAAGGAAGGTAAATGAGGCCATTAGAATATATATTTCTGTATATGCCTATATACATATACAAAATATATATAGTATCTATTTCTGTAGTAGGATGCATTTTGTACATAACAACCCCAGGATGTTCAGCACTTTGCTGGAAAAGCAAAGATACATATATTGCAATTAGAACTGGCTGAAATATTTTTTATAAAAAGATTTCCCACAGTTGTTATTCCCAAATGAATTTTCTCCTTTTTCTATGGGCATTTAAAAAATATTTTTTTAAATAATCTTTTTTTCAAACAATTTAAGTGCCCCAGATATTACTATACTTTCAATATAAAAAATTCTTTTTTTAAAATATTAAAACAGATTTTTTGAAAAAAATGAAGTAGATTTGTTTCTTATATTTTGAAGGGGGAAAAAAAAGTGTATTTTTCTATAGTTTTCAATCAGTTCTAAACACCAATATCTGTCATATGCCTGGAAAGGATGGTTAGCCAAACTTTCTCTTTTAATTTCTTGAGGTAAAAGCATGAGCTGAAGATTAGTGGTGGGACTGAAGAGAATAAAAAGTAGGCCTGGGACTGTCAAAATCACTTGTGATTCGTAACTTAACTAAAACACTCATTGGTTTCACTAGACTAGGCACACTGTTAATGAGCTCCAGTTTCCCATTGAAATAAAAGTGCTCAAAGGGAATCTACTTAAGCTCAATTGAGGAGAAAGGCAGTTAAAAATGTCCTGCAAAAATTTTATCCAGACTGTTTAATCATTGGTTTTGGTAGGATTTCCTCCCAGCAGAACTGACATGAGCTTGCTTTTTCAACAGCTTGTCTGCTTTTCATCCCACCTAGGATTAGGCACCATTTAGCATGGATGCTGATCTTTGTTGCCCAGTCTCCATCATTAAATCAGATCCACAGAATATAAATGGATAGATGATTCCATATGGTAATTCGTCCAAGATATTTTAGAAATCTTCCTATGATGAAGGCAAATCATTCTCTGAAAGTACCTGTTCTTCTATGTTAAATCCAGAGACAGGGCATATAGTTTAGGTGATTTACATGACGTTTAGAAGTTGAAAGTTAACTCAAACAAAACTGTCTTTTAAAGAAAAAGAAAGAAATGTCTGAGCACTTCTATAGTCAAATGTACAACTAAGTGTTATTCACAAGAGAGAGAAGAAATAAATTTATAAGTTAGTGAGTATTGAAAAGTTACTCCTTTCCATTGCCAGCACAGTGTTTCTGCTTTGGGACACACTCCAGGGAACGATCTCTGGCCAACACAGCCTTTCTGCTGATGATTCAGAAATAGTCCTAATAAAGCCAATTCTGGCCCTTTGAGCTTGCTAGCTGTAACAGTAGTGAGCGGCAGCTCCCATCAAAACCACATAAGCCCTCAACTGTCTGCAGAAAAAAGCTGGCAAAGTTGCATGTTAATTTTTGCAACATATGTCAGAAAGTTCTAGCAGATTGGAATGGAAAGGTGATTTCAGTAAAAAAAACACCACCACTACCACCCCCAAGTTTAGAAGGTGATGTCTGCCCTTTCCTGTCTCAATGTTTTCTACTTGAGTTGTGCTTCCGTTGTCCATACATAGGCAAGTTAAAGGGACCTAAAGAATTAAATCTGATTGAAACACAAACCTTAATGGATTAACAAGGAAGGTTTAGATTTGATATTAGGAAAAATTTCTTCACCAAAAGGGTTATCATTGGAACAGGCTGCCCAGGGAAGTGATTGAGTCGCCATCCCTGGAGGTATTTAAAAGACAAATAGATGTGGTGCTTAGGGACATGGTTTAGTGGTGGACTTGGCAGTGCTAGGTTAATGGTTGGACTTCATGATCTTAAAGGTCTTTTCCAACTTAAACGATTCTATGATTCTGTAAAATATTCAAAAGAATGATCCTAGACTAGGCAGTATAGCAAACTATGGCTTTACCTTTCGTTTTGCCTACATCTGCTGTATGAGTCACATAGGAAGGTACAGCAATTTAGAAATCTAAAAAAAAAAATAAAAAAATTATAAACATTAAAAACCATACCTTTGACATATTTTCATTAATATTCATCACTTGTATCAATATATGTTAGTATTTAATGGTTTCCTAACATGCAAAAATGCCTCTAAATTTAGAACAGAAGTGAACAAATCTTGTAAGATTGCTTCTTTACAATCTTTAGGAATGTTTTTCAGCCAAACTTGTTAGAAAATAAAAGAAAAAGCAATGGATTGTTCAGCTATTTAAAATTCTGAGTAGATGAATAATCTGTTCTACAATAACTAGGCATCGTTATGATCCTATCATCTCATCTGTTGCAAATAAATGAATTATTTAGCTCTAAAGTCTAACTTATACAATCATCTTCTGTTGCAAAAGCAAATTAAAATGTATGCTTGGATTTGTTACTGTTGAAGGACACTAGTTAGCCTGAATTGTGCTGTTTTCAACAATTAACACCATATTAAAAAGCTATCGTTACATGCTGATCAGTAATTTATGAAAAAAACCTATGCAGTATTGACTTCTACATAAATTCATATAAAGATTTTAAAGGGATTTGTAAGGAAAGTGAGAGAGATGGACTGTGTTAAGTTTCTAACTGCCTGTCAGAGATACATTTGGATCAGTGTGCTCTATAGGGATTGCACAAGATTAAGAGGTTTGTTTTGGCCATTGAAATCACGATAACTGTTCCTGTGCAGCTAAAAGAATGATAGCTATTAATGCTGACAAATATCCTTACAGCTGTTCCAGTTGATGTCTGAAGTTTATTTATTTTTTCCTTAAGCTGGGTGACCACTGACCAAATCTTGGTAGCTTAAAAAAAGAAAAAAAAAAAAAAAAAAAGCTGAATACTCCCCTCCCCCCCGCCCCAACAACAAATACACACACACCCCAACACAACAAATAAAAACACCATAAGGGAATTTTAATTAAAGACCTCATTTCCTCTTGGACATCTGTACAGTTAGTAAGAAATAATATGACAAATATTTCTCTCTCTAGTTATTTTCTAAGTGTGCACACAATAGTTGAATGCTCATCACAAGCAGAGCGATAGGTATAAGATTCCAGTAATGCCGTAGAGTAGGCTTCTTACCAATATGTACAGAGGAAGACTTCCTTTCAGCTGCTGAGGATCTGGTTTTTGCCTGAGACTTGTCAACAGATGTTAAAAATATCAGATACAGAAAAGTAAAAAAAAATAGTTGTAAATAGCAAGTGTGCAACAAGATCTAAATTTAAGATTGCATGGGAGGAAGTGCAAGTTTGTACAGCATTGTTGCAATTGGCTTCTCAGATTTCAAAAATCCCCCATTACAGTCATCTGGTTTATTAAGGGTGGGGGGGGATAATGCTAGCTTCTTCTCAATGCCATGGAATACCATAAATATTTTTATGACTATTTGTAATGTGTTGTTTTTTTCCTATGCCACAGACCCATCTATCACACAGCTCACTAAATTAATTGAAGGGGAACCTGAGTTCAAAATAGTCAGGGAAGGGGAGACAATAACTAAAGTGATTCATGGAGGTTGGTATGCTTTCAGAAACTCAATTTGTATTAGTTAAAATTTGAAACAAACATTATTCCCACTCAGTTTCTACTTTAATGTAGGTGATTCATGTGATATGTTAGGCAATTGTTCTGTTTTTAACAAGACCTTCTGGAAGTCTTGTAATTTTATTTTATCATTTCATCTATGATTCTCACTTCTCACACATTTCAAAAGAAATTTTTTTTTTTTTTTTTTTTTTCCTAGTTGTGTCCTGTAGCTACAGTCAAGACAGTGTTAGGAATGCTCTGCATGCTAACATAACATCTATCTCAGTTAATAATTGTTTACTGGTTGTTGTCCTGCAATCAAAATGCAGTAGGAGATTCTGTTTTAGAAAGGCAATTTTATCAGACAGAGAGGTAAACTTTGCCTCTAGGAGCATTGAGAAGTTCACATCTAGGGTGCTTTCAAAAGAAAAATAGCATGTGGCCATCCTAACTTTGAGGGAAACTTAGTTCTTGGTCTTCTCTGAACTTTTTCATTTTTTGCAAAATAGACTATGGTATTTCTTTGTGTGCTTCAGTAAGTTTCAGCCTCTGAAAAACAGCACTTGTAACACTGTTCATCAGTTGATTAATGTCTTCAATTTAAAAATCCTTGTAGAACCAATTATTAAAACATATACCAAAATCATTGATGGGCGACCTGTGGAAGTGACAGAGAAAAAAGTAACAGAAGAAAGAATTATTCAAGGTAAATTATGCTGAGCTATTCATACTTAGTGAAGTTCATCATTACATACAGAAGTAACACATCTTAAGTTCTGTCATGATGCTTAAACTGCATTTCCAGGAGACATGAATTTTCCCTAATGCTTCCCACTTATGGCTCAAATTCTAGCTGTGTGTGCTACACAAACATATACAGAAATGGCAACAATATTTTAAGAGCATGCAAAACAATGAAATTTTCAGTTGTATAGCTCCAGGTAGGTTTCATTTGACCAAAGGTAGACCTTCAGTGTGTGGATACCTACTTTTGCATGTCATCCCAGGCTCCATTGACAATCATTTCAGAAAAAGAACTTCTTGGTTTCTCTGTAAGGAGGGGCCTAGATTGATCTGACATTCACAAGTTAGAAATTTGTTTCAGCTAATATAAGATAAAATTAATGTGCATCTATGTCCCTTGATCTTCTCCCACGGTAACTTTCAAACTCTTTGGCCAATTTAAATTATATTTGACCTAATACAGAGATGTTTCTTTAAGAATCCTAGAAACGTCACAGGAATTGAAAAGTCAAGTGAAGCATATTTAAGCAGTCACAAATTCTATGTTAACACATTTTGATCCCCTTGGTTAAATACCAGTTTGAATGCTGCCATTAAAATTCTGTCTGCCAGAGCAGTTGTAAAGAAAAGACGGTGTTATAGGAACATATAGACTTAGTAGAAAGTATTAATATTCAGTTTATTTAGAAAATCTTAAAATTTAATTTAAGTCATTAAAGTAAAGGAGAAATAATGAACCAAATTTAAATATTCTCATACATCTATTTACAACAATGAAAATAACTTAATGAAAAATATTGATGGCTTCTGAATGAATCTGGGACTATTTTCCAATACTAAATTTCTGGGGGTGAAAATAAAATACCATTTTCTCATATCTGAAATTCAAGTTTCACTAATATCTCACATAAAATGGCCAATATGATAATATCTCACATAAAATGCCCGTGTTTCAGACCTGGTATTTCCTTCTGTTCCCTCTGTATAGAATCTCAAATGATAAAGAATCTCAAATGTTAAGTTCTCAAATGATTCATAGCAGTAATAAAAGCAACAATGTCTATTTACAACAGTGGACTCCTCAGACTCTTTTTGCACTTAGGAATATCTGACCTCTGACCTAATACAACAAAGTGATTAAAAATGTGTCTTACCTTAAGAATGTGAGCAGATATTTACTATTAGCATGTTCAATTTGTCTAATTACTCTCCTGAATAGCTCTAAATACGATCTGTAACCCTCTTTCAGTTTAATTCGAGACACAGTGAAAGGTAAAATGACCACAAAAGAAGGTTAAAGCATGCTAAAGACAGAACCATCATAAGTGTTAAATAGGAAAAAATAGCTTAAAAGGCAATCCTGTTATATCTGATTGAAGTCACTGTCTTACACATATTTTTTTTCCAGGTCCTGAAATAAAATATACCAGAATTACTGCAGGTGGTTCAGACAATGAAGAAAAGTTAAAGAAATTGCTTGAGGAAGGTTAGTATCCTTGTTTTCTTTCCTTCCTTTAAAAAGAAAATTAAAAAATATATTACCTAAGTAATTACTGAATGCATACTCCATGTTTTCAGCAAAGGTGCTCATACAGCAAAATCATACCCAGAGATTAAACCTCAGAACCTGAGAAATATCCAAATCTAATGTTCTGGTTTGAGTCTCTGATCTTCACATTTGAATCAGCTCCAGAGTTGAGGCTGCCTGAGTCTAATATATAGTATGCTGTGTTTGTCATGTAATATGGTGTTTTCAGTGTTTACATGGAATTCAATATCATAACAGATGAATTTTGTAATTCAGCAAAATGCTATGACACGATTAATTCAGTAATATGCTGTTACAGGTTTGTCAAATGTTTTCTGTAAATCAATTTTTTGCCATAACCTGTATCCTGTCAGAGGTTACCAAGGTGACCAAATTTATTGAAGGTGATGGTCATTTACTTGAAGATGAAGAAATCAAAAGACTTCTGCAGGGAGGTAATTCAGTGTATTATAACTAACCTTTTTGCAACAGGTCATGATAACTGAAACCCCTCTCGGATATATTGATCTCAACATTTTAAAGACTGACCTAGCGAAACTGTAATTTTAATGGGAGAAAAAAATAGAGTGCTATATATGAAGTGCCAGATGTCTGTGAAATGGAAATAAGTACCAAAGATTGATTAATCAAATTTTTTATTACAATGATCATGAAAAAAGAAAATTATTTGGGTTTTTTCAGTCTTTAAAAAGTTATCTAATGAAAACTCAGGGGAGCAATGAAGATTTATTCCACTAGCTGTGAACTCTCTTTTTTCAGCAAATTTAAATCTGCGAAAGACACTGATAAAGTGGAAAGTATTGTGATAGGCCAAATTCATCTTACTTATCAGTTCTTCAGAAATGAATATTCATTGCCCTCAAGTTAATAATTAAAGGCATGTTTAACATCCTCCTTTCGATGCTTACAGGTGATGGATATGAAGGCATTAACTTTAATTCTCTTCAAATATAGCATTCCAAGGAATGATTTTCTTTCCTTCTTGCTCTCTTAATTCTAACAGTTTTTGCAATACATAACCAGTAGCTGTAGAAAACTGGTAAAAGAACTTGTGCTTATTGAATTAATCTTTACCTATGAATTTGGAATGTTCTCTGCTTAATGTAGATTAGAAAAAACTATCTATAATAGCAATGGGGAATAAAAAAAGAGAATTCAAGTATTGTGTTTTTAATAAATGTAAGTGTAAACCTGAGTCAGAAGCTCAAAAATATGTATGGATATCTCTTGGCATAAATTAACTGAATCAACTAAATTTTATGTTCACTTTTTAGTAATTTACAAACTTGAAGACCAGTGAAGTAGCTCACAGCCAGCTGCGTGTTCGCTGAACTAAATCTTGTAGTCCTTCAAAAGCACTATTCTGTAGATGTGACTTAAACTTTAGTTAAATGAAAAATTTAGTGATGGCTGAATGGCTGAACAGCTTTCCACCAAATAAAACCATGCTAGGTGATAATACAACTAGTCTTAGAAACAAGCCAAAATATGGCTATGAATATTGTTGACTGTAGTTCTCTCTTCTGTTTTAAACATCTAAATCTTAGTTTGACAGATCTAAGCCAGGATATTCCTATAAACATTGGAGAGAAATAGGAACTTCCAGAGGGTTTTTCATCTTATTCTATCTTAAGTGTCCCAGCCATGTGAAAAGAGTTGCTCTCTGGAGATGCCTATGTCAGTATCGAATATTCAAAAGAAAAGTTGAAAATGAAAGAGATTATAGCAAGAAAATCCCTCCATGTATTGGACTATGTTCTACTGGCATCAACCAGAGAATAAAGAGGAGGAGCAAACTTTATCTGTAGAATTATTCAAAATTCTGGTGACAGTTCTGATGCCAGAATCCAATAATTACGATTGTAATTGTAATCATCTTCAGAGGTGTACTATTAAATAGATACAATCTGTAGAGATACATCTTACAGTGATCCTATAGGTGTATGGAAAAGACATAATTTCTCTGTAGTAAATTTGGGAAAGATGATATTGTCTCTTGAATTCTTGCTATTTTTCCCTTGCTATTATATGTTAGTTTGCATAAGCATCCTGCTTCACAGAATGGACCAAATAGGCAGATTTGTCTCTTGTTTTAATTTGATTTTTCTCTATCTTTTCCATGATTTATTCAGTCAGCTACCCTTGGCTGCCATGATAATACCTTACCATACATTTAGCCAATAAAAGCAGATACACATGCTGCTTTATGGCTGTTGGTGATAATGGTGATAATGCTTTATGTCCCTCTTGTCTACATCAAATTATTTCTGTTTTACTGAAAATTTTCTAAGCATTTAAATCTGAATGTATTCCCAGTGACTAAAGTAAAAGAATGATTTCATATGGGCTGTAATTCTACTCAGACAATATCCAGCACGGCTTATTACAACTGGCAATCTTTGCTGAACCAAAAATTCAAGCCAAGATTGCAATGAATGACTCTCAGCCCTAGAGAAGGAATCACTTGTGGCAGGGCCAAGGAAATCAGCAGGACTTTATGGCATGAATAACATGGTGGCCTGCATACACCTAGACCCCCAAAATGACATTGTTTCCAATGAAGATTCCTAGCATATGGAAAAATGCTATGCCAGATTTAACTCATTTGTTTTTGATGCTTATCATAGCTGGAACTGAGTACACCAAGGTTACTAAAGTAATTGAGGGAGAGCCACAGATTATCGAGAGAGAAATCAAGAAAGTCCATCTGGAAGGTTAGTTTGTCTAAAATTCCAGTAGCACTAAGACCTGCTTTGTCTGAAGTGATCATTCCAGGTGCGGTTTTATAGTATCTATTCACAAAAATAACTTAGGTCAGAAGCCAGTATTTTAGCAAGAAGAGTTTTATAATTGTTTTGTAAAAGAATTCTTTCACTGACATTGCAGAGAAAAATGTTGAGGCTTATCTTGTGGCTAAAAGTAGCTAAAAGATTTGGCAAGCATAGTAGACAAGAGGAAATATCTAACCACAAAGCTTAGGTAGAACATTTGAAGGAACATGCACCATAAGAATTGCCTTTTCTCTAAGCAGCACATCCAGAAGAAGATCACGTGAGTTGTTTTTAACTTGAGTTATTTCTTGTCAGTGTTAATGTGATCTGTTGATGTGAGGGGTTCTCAACCTGGTGAAGGGGGAGTAGGGTGGAGGGAATATAACCTCTGGGGTTGAGTAAATATCTCACAGGGTCTTGGAATTTCTTTACCCTTATACTGTTGTTAAATGATGGAAGCTCTTGGGTTTGAAAAAGTTGAATGGTGTCAAGGTCCAAAATCAATCTCTTAAGAGACAAATACAATTCAACCTGGCTTTATATTAGGAATTTGTTCTCCAAGTTTAACAATCATTTTTAAATGATTTTCATTCAAATTTAAGACATAGCTTGTTTAGGGTTTCTTTTGTATTTGTATGTACGTCATTTTCCAATTCTGATTCTAATAATGTAGAATAATTTATTCTGTCAGCCTTTGAACTAAATTCATAGGAAAAAATACTGTGACTCATGGAGAATGAAGTTAAATAAATAAGTTTCTACTTTTAAAATTTTGAAGTCTATGCTAAATACTGAAGGTATACGATAGTGTTTGTATAACTTCAATGTTGAGTACTACAAGGCATGCAGGTAAGTCACCTATTGCCTGAAAATCTCAGACAGGTGTGATCTTCGACCATGGGGTTTGCCTGAAAGCATAATTGTATGGACGGCATATAAGTATGGAAAGCATACTATCAACGGACCATGTTCTGCCCTTGTCAGGGCAGTGCAGAGCTTCAAATTTTCTATCACGTTGATGCAGATACCCAGTGTTTAGCCTCATCTGTAATGAGGTGAAACCTGTATCTCAGGGCTATGCATTTATATACCCCATACCTCAGGATGAAAGGACAACTGACTGCAGCTGGTTTAGCGAAGATGCAAGTACTTCATGGTTGTAAAGAAGGAAAAATACCAGAGTAACATTTCTGTGACAGTAACAGAAGAAATATCTGTTATGCTTGTGAAATGTTTTTCCTCCCAATGAGGAAACAGCTGGTTTTAAAAATGTCTCAAGGTTTGATGAGAAAGAGGAAAAAATGTCCGTAGTTTCACTGAGTCAGTATTTTGGAAAACAGATATATCTGCTAATGAGGCTGGTGCCTGTTCAATAGCCCTTGCTCTACTCTACGCTTTAAAGCAGAAGTCTCTGAGAGAATTAACTGAACTCTAAATGTGGAATCATACTGTGGACTCACAATGCAGTTACACATCAAGCCCCAGACACAGCTGGAGATGTGGCCAACATCTTGTGATGGTTGAGTTTCAAGCACATCACTTATAAATAGTGCCTGAAGTAATGTCTATACAGCAGCCCTGGAAATCCTCTACCAAAAGCTGAGACTGACTCCTGGGCTGTTCATTAACTTATACGTCACTGACAGTGCCAGATGGTGTCTGCTGAACGAAGAGCATGGGCAAAATGTCCTGGTACCTGCCTACAGCATGTAACCATCTGTAGGAGATCAATGTGAATAATTGATTAAATTATACTGTTAAAATGTGAAAATACTTTTGAAACGTTGGTAAGATTTGATGGGTGACTGCACATGACAGAAATGTATGAATTGTATTATGAGCATTCATGTTTCAGGTGATCAAGTCAACATGCCAATGGGAGAAAATTATTAATTTACTGAAAACCTTAAAGAACAAACTTCGCAAGTCAGCAATGGGTTTCCAACATTTCTAATGAGTTTTAATTAAAAGGCTCTTACAAATAAATTCTGACTGCAACATTTCTGTTTTCTAGAAGCACCTGTACGGAAAGTACAACCAACCAGGAGGACACAAGGTAAAAGCAAAACATATATTTAAACATTTTAACATGCATCAAATATTATTCTCAGTTACATTAAAAGTCAGGAGGGAAAAAAATACCCTTATGAAAACAGAGTTCAGAAGGAAAGAGTTGCATGAATGCTTTTAGAAAAAGCTTGGTATTGTTAATTACTGGATTTCTAGATTTTTTTCTTATATATGTTTCTATCTGAAAACAACTTAGATATTATGTGCTTTGGTCAAACAATGTTTTGGATTAGAATAAAGCTGTTGAAGTGAGATCTGACTCTGGAGTCTAACACTGTGAAAATGGCACTGTGGGATTCCCCACCATGGGATTTGTAACTCAGTGTTTCTACATTATTTTGATCAATGAAGAAGCTGAGAGATCATTGTAATTTCCTAACTGCCAGCACAAGAGTGAAAGATCCAACTTCAGGCTTCAGTTTTCCTCTTCACATGTCTGTTTCACAAGTAAATACAGTATATAGTGTAACTATATTATATATAATTATAGGTAATAATTATGGTTCTTTTTACATTTTTTTCCACGGGGAACAGGAAGAAGGAGGACAAGACTAGTTCATTCCTAAAAGCTTTCCAAGACAGAATCCACAGAATTACAAATTAACAGCACAGTCTTTGAGAGGAAATGAAACTCCTTTTAAAAAATGAGAACATTTGAAAATGACATTGTTTTGATAACACTATGTAAACTGAACCATGAATCCACAAAAAGATGTGAAGCTGCAGATACTCACTGCTAGCACAGTGCTCACTAGGAGGAGTAGTCCATTGGGGGTGTTTTAACTGCTCCTGATAGTAAGCACTATGCAGGGTGGAATCCTGGAACTGGTGAAGGCCATCAAACTTCTGTAGAACCAGGATTCCTTCTTATGCTGGCTAGTAAGTATTTGCAGGATTGGATTCAAAAAAAGCAGGGAACAATACAGAGTGTATTTTTTTATTATTATTATTTCCACTAAATAAGAAATATAAATGAAATTAGATCATTTCTAGAAAAAAAGAATCATTTCAGGTGACTTTTAGAGTAATCTAAGGAAATATGAGATGTTAACATAGCACTTTTGGTTCAGTAGTATTGTATGCTTTTTATAAATCAAAATTCATCATGTGTTTAATGTCATAATGACACCAGTAATGTTACCTTTTCTAAACAAACAAATACGCCTTATATTAAATGTATCTTCTTTTTTTTTTTTTTCTTTTCCTACATAACATATCCAAATGCCTTCTAGTAAGTGGCTAATGGAAGCTCTTAAAAAGAAAAAAAAGCAAACATTATGAGCTTCTTGAAATGTGTTTGAGATCATGTTGACTTCTTTATTTATAAGAAAAATCATTCCCATTAAAGGAATCCTATACCAACACATATATCGAGATTCTTAAGTGTTTTCCCACTTTTCCCTAAATGTGTCTTTTGATTATTAAAGTGGATTATAAAAGGGATAAATAAAATGCATGCAAACAGTTAACTCAACATGGAAAAAGGTTTTACAATAATTAGGCTAGGTCTGAAAGCTTTTATATCAAAACATACTTTGCTAATGTCTGGTACTAATGTGGAATTGTCTGTAAATTACGTCAATTTTGTAACTCTAGTTTTGTATTCATAAATGTTGTTTGCCTTTATTAACAAAAGTTGGAAAACAATTACTCATGGAGTAAGAAAAAACTGTTCAAAGTGCCTTAATTCTGCAGACCAAAGTTTCAGAGGAGTTATCTAATGTGCTTTTATACTTCTGTTTTGAAACAAAATACTCAATAAAGAATTTGGCTGAACTGTGCTTGCTTTCATTTGTAAATATTCTTTTTAATAGTAAAGCAAATTCTAAATATTCTCAAGTTTTTAGAGTAGTTTTTAGTTAATAAATATGCTTTCACAGAGGCAAACTGATGCTTCCCTTTCTCACTTCCCACATGCTAATGCACTTAAACTGTGTCACTGTCCTTACGCACAATTAAAAACCTTCCCTAATTCCATAAACATGTACCATGAGCACTGCTCCCTGACTGGTAAGGCTGTCTGAGCATTGGATGGATAGGTTGTGTAGCCTTACTGTGCTGTCAGACTTTCTCACTAAGGTGACCTCAAGTATCTACTATCATAGTGGTCTGGTTGAAGGACAGCTTTTGATCCTGGTAAGAGCTAGATAGCTTTTAGGCAAGAATGAGAGCTCTTAGGACTGCCTAAAACGGGTGAACTGAAGCTGTCACCTTTCCCTGGGGCCTTTGACTGTCATTGAATCACTAACTAATCTGCTTTCCTCACTGCTGTGCCACTGTGAGCTGTCAGTCAAGTAAGATTTTAAAGGACAGCAATTATGTTAGAGGAGGAATGTGTCTGTGCTCTCCTCTCCCAAAATAGAATAGGAGATGTGGAAGAAAATGGAATGGAACTAACAGATACAGTATGTACAGGAACTGGGGAGGAAGCAGAAGGAGACAAGATAATGGATTAGAACCTATCCTGTGGTAGGAAATTTTTAAATTTTCAAGTGGGAATAAATTTCTAACATACAAATTTTGTATATTTTCTGCTTTGACAACATTTTAAAGCCTCTGGTAGTCACTGAAATACCTTTCTGTACTTTAACATTCACTTATGTAAAATACATAATTGTACAGGTGAAATACAACACCAGGTGAAATACAACAATATATACAGGGCTCTCCTCCATGAACACTTGTTTCCCTGATACACTCCATACCTCTGAGTCCTTCCTTGACCACAGAAGGAGCTGCAATGTACACGGACATCTCTTTTGATGGAGTGGCTTTTTTCTGTTTTTCTGAATAAGAATCCTTCCAAAACATGATGTAAAAAGAAAATCAATGTGTTCTTTTAATTGCTTTTCATATAGATAGTAATTTCTGGCTCAGCACAGACAGTCTTTTACCAAAGAGCAGATCTGAAGAACTTAGGTGAATGTGACCCCACCACCCACCCTCTGTTACCCATTTCCCCTCACTTTATAGTCATTTAAACTAATGTAATGTGACTAAATGTCATGATTTAACCCAGCAGGCAGCTAAAATAACCACACAGCTGTTTGCGTACCCCTACTCCCCCAGTGGGACTGGGGAGAGAATCGAAAAGGAAAAGAAAAAAAAACCAAAAAACTCATGGCTTGAGATAAAGACAGTTTAATGGAACAGAAAAGGATGATGATGATGATGATAATGGTGATGATGATAAAATATACAAAACAAGCGATGAACAGCACAATTTCTCACCACCTGAAGCCAATGCTTCGCTGGTTCTCGAGCTGCCCCATCTCCCAGCCAGCTCCTCAGTTATGGTGTGGAATACCCCTTCGGCCAGTTTGGGTCAGCTGTCCCGGCTGTGTCCCTTCCCAGCTTCTTGGGCACCCCCAGCCTTCTCGTTGGCAGGCCAGTATGAGAAGCTGAAAAGTCCTTGACTGCTTGGCAACAACTAAAACATCAGTGTGTTATCAACATTATTCTCATCCTACATCCAAAACACAGCACCATGCCAGCTGCTAGAAAGAAAATTAACTCTGTCCCTGTTGAAACCAGGGCACTAAATAAGACATTAGCATACTACCAAGTCAGAATGCTTACTAATAACAGATAATTCACTCTTTTCTTTGGTGCTTCTTTATAATCTCTTAGGGATTTATAAGCAGGAATACCCAGCTGAATTCATTATGCAACTCTCAAAGCACTTTAACTGCTTCCTTTGGTATCCTGTATGAAAAAGTGACACCAAAGAATTAGTAACTGGAAGTTACACTGTGATTTTATAGAAACTAGGATTCATATCTACATGCTTTTTTTTGAGATGTAGGAGGGTGAATATTCATAAATATTCATAATTTGACAAGTATTGAACAGATGACAACATGGTGAATGTTTTTCATATATTGGATAAGATAAAGAAAAGTGGAAGCTACAGGGCAGAGACATCATAGGGGCATGACAAAACTGCCCTGGAATTAACAGTATGTAACATTTAAATATCATCCTATACTTAATTCTTCATCTTTGTTCTTTGTTATGAAGGCCTTCATTGTCTGTATTTGCCAGACTCATAATAACAGTGCTTCCATCTCCTTTCATTTAACTTACGCCATATAAGCAACAAAACAGCAGGAGAGGAGGAATAGAGGACAGTGACATATATCTGCATTGATACCCATGAGAAAATGCCAGTAATAACATTCCAAGAAACTACAAGTACAAGCCTGTACCACAAAGCCATCATAATATAGGGTTCATCCATAGACCACTAGAACAAAATGACTTCAAATTGTGATAGACCACAAAATGGATATCATCATAGTATCAGCCCTTAGGTTGATGGCCAAGGACCTTGAACTTGTCACAGCAATAGAGTCTCTTTCAATGTCACTGAAATAATTCAGTCTAGCCCTAAGGAGTAAAACAAAAATACGTATTGACAGGGTTGAGAGTGATGAGTAAAGGTTTCAGCACAGACAGTTTTTCAGATAGAGTTAAGGTGCAGACCAATACTTATACAACAAATATGTCAAAGGAGAAGACTGAAAATATAAGTAGCTTCTTATGACCTCAGTTACTGTTGGAGGAGGCTTGAGAGATGATCAAATACCTGATCAAGCAATGGCAGAAAATAGGCCTTATTCTAGATCACTGAAGATGGGTTTTTTTAATGTAAAATGGTCACTTCTGTCCTCTGTCTCTCATCTCCCCTGTTAAATGACCAGCAAGGATGCCAGAACACTTCTTTGGCATGGATCTATATTGCCACGACATTCCTAAACTGGGCCTCTGACCTTTGCAGTCATGCTAATTCTGCTTAGTTTAATACATATAAAGCCTGCTTCCCAAATTTGCCTGTGATAAAGAACAAGACAAAATAACTAAAATCGACTTCTCCAAACCAAAACTTCATTATTTCCCTTAAAGGTGAAAATTAAATGGATCAAAGACATAAAATATCCTGAAAAACATCACCACAAATCATATGCTGTTTCATATAGATTTCTGTCTTCTGTGTTCAATACCTCTTTGACAAATCTGAAATTTCCTAAGAGATCCAAAATTTAATAGATGACTGACATCCATGTAGAAATCTTTCCATACTCTTACATACATTCCCATCAGTGTGCCCTCACCCATGATTACAGGACTGATGAAACAAGGCCTAAAAAAGGAGAAGAATTATTCTTAATAGTGCCTGATTCAGCAAGAAGTTTCACCCAGTCCTATTTTTCCCTCTCCAGTTTGAACAAGAGCACTGTATTGTACAGCCTGATATCTGCATCACATGGGTGTCAGCCTTAAACGGCTTATACTACCTTTTCCTTTCAGGGTTCACATTTTTAAGCTTAAAAATTGCTCTGTTAATATTGATACTGTCTGAGGAGAGTAAATTTTTCTATCTCTATAGACACTACACTTTGCATTTTATCTCACTTTCTTATCCTTTTGCTGTTTCTTTGAAGAGCTTTAGAATTACCTGTAGTGGCATCTCAGGGCTCTCACCATGAACTGCTCACACAGCAGCTGTAGGAGTTCTAGCAGTAAAAGCACATGTGGTATTTGTAAAAAGACAGAAAAAAACCCC